ATACGTTTGAAGGAATGCAATGTGATTACGAACGCCTTTACATACATTAAAAGGTTGTCGAACTCATACAGACAGTGAATATTTTTGATTGCTTTGCACGCATATCATTGCGTGGTTTAATTGTGAACATCTTCGCATATATTAAACAATCGAACGCATGTATACAAACACATTTGATACCAAAGTTTGATACAGTTTTCTTTCATAATAAGTTACCATGCATTTGATGTCTCACTTTTGCGAGCTCGTACCTTTAGGGACAACGGATACATTCGCAGCCATTAAAACCCATTTTTCCGATTTTAATGTATTAACAGTTGATAGTATATTTTAACGCATTAAAAATCTTAAAGTGTTTATTAATTTGGAATTTTTGCAAATATTCAACATGTCGTGGACTAAAAGACTTCATTATTAACATGCGTTCGATTGTTTAATATAGATGATGTTCACAATTAAATCACGCATTAAGTGGTACGTGTGGTACGGTGCAAGGGAATCAAAAATATTCACTGTTTGTGTGCGTTCGACAACTTTTTAATGTGTGTAAAGGCCTTCGTAATAACATTGCATTCCTTCAAACGCATTACAAACTTTCATTTTAACGCCTTCGGATTTTCTAATGCAAACTAATATCCCGCAGACTTCGAAAATCTTCTTTAACTGCTGAGTACTCATTTTAAGCTCAACTCCAAGCGAGTCTGAGTTGAACGATCCACTTTGATTGCATTATGTTTCCGAAGAGAAAACCGCGTAGAACATAGTGCAATCAATATCTTAACTAGCTTAAGAAACACTTTGTTTTCAAGAGATTGTTTCATATCAACAATTTTTGTTATGCCAAATCTTGATATATAAAGAATCTCCAATAGGCAACATTTTACATTCATATAGTATAATCATATAGAATTTAAAGTCTCTATCATTGTTCATGAGTGACAAAGGATCTAATATTTTTGTCTGGTACGCAAAAGAAGTTATTACTAACTTCTTTCTTTTCAACTATTATCCAAAGCTTTCCCATATTTTAAATGCTTTTTGTTCTCTGAAGTGATCATACAGTAGCTATTTGCTTGAAGATGAAAACTATTCATATTGATCTGGAATGGCGCTTGTAGTTTCGTTAGATAAAAGCTACTTGTTTACTTTTACAGATTTAACTGATCCACCGCCTCGTTTTTAAAACGCCAATATCCGATGCTTTTCTCCTATTGACACAGTTTCCTGCATTTATTTTTATTGCTCTCATTTTATTTTCTCTTCTTCTTTCTTTAAGTTCAATATTTTTTCTTTTATTTTTATTTTATAGTGATGTCCTTTTTTATTCTGTTTAAAGATTCCTCTTAGGAGATACAATGTAGTCCTCAGGACGACGATTTCACTTGATTGATCTTCTTCTCTTGTTCATCTTGATTTCTTTCAATAAAAAGCTTAAAACCAATGGTGCTTGCAAAGCGTTGCAGGCCTTCGAACTGCCTAATGCATGTGATGGAGTTCGTGATATGATAGCTAAGGCGTTCACAGTTTTGGAAGAACAAAACAGGCGGAATAATAAGTTTAAGGGCCCCTCTCTCAGAAATGATGATTTTCGGTCAAAAAATCGGTTTTGAGATACGCACGTGGAAATATAGCCTGAAGTGTCTGCTTCCAGAATCTATATTGCTTTTGGTTGGAAAACTGCTTTTTCAGGAATTTTGAACAAGTTTTCTAAGATCCTCGAAAACTCGGTTCTTCAAATAAAGGTTTTTTCCCGGATACTTATGCAATTAAAATTTTTCTGAAAACACAGCTTTGTAGAGCAAATGTTTCTGATCAAAATAAGACCTCGCACAACTCTGTATGGCCTTGCATCAAAACGTTACAGGCGTTTTCCTAAAAGTCCTAAAATCGAGCATTTCATACCGCGTTTAGTACAGCGTTTTCACTATATAAGAGTTACATCTGAAGTGCGTCCCGAGATTTTTAATAGCGGTTTGTCGTAGAGACTTCAATCTTTTTAGGTTTAAAAGAGAAAAATAAACTACATGGACTGACTGGCGTCGATTTTTGAATTAGGTCTTAGTTTTTTGTCAAACTGAGGACTTTTAGAAAATTCGGAGGGCTTTTTCAGGTTTTGGAGGTTGTTGGCTGTCTGGAAAACCAATAAAGGCTTAATTGAAAAATCGGCAGTCGATGTAGTTAGGTGTCTAGTTTAAAATAAAACAAACCTGAACTCTCCAGCTTGAAGTATATTAAAAAGTCTCGGGACGCACTTCAGAGGCCTTTTTGGACCTCGATCTGGAGACTTCTAAACCGTAAAACTTGGAGACAAAAAAAGTTTTTTATTCTCGTAACTCATTGCGTTTAACATTTCTGGAAAGCTTCGTCAAGATCGGATGTACGGTGTCGGAGATCATGTCTGAGGGAGGGGGGACTCTTAAGTGTCTACAGAAAATTGAAACGAATTAACTTAATGCTCTGATTTTTTGATTTTTCCCGTGCATTAAATGATGACGACAGCAAACTCATCGTTACATGCCTTGGAATCCTTAACTTGAGCAAACACGCTAAGAATTTTAATTCTACTAAGGCATTCCACTTGATGAATGAATTTATTGAGAAATCAGAAGGCGTTCAACTTCTTATTTTTTAATGTCTTTAGAGTTTCAAAAGACTTCTAAAGACGCATGTATTAAAACTTTTACAGACATTAAAAGCGTTGAGAAAAATTATGCATTCGAATGTCTTCAGTTCTGATGGATAACTTCAGAGAACGCATTAAAAATATCAAGTCGTGTAAACTCTTGACATGTTTCAAAGAATTGTCAGCTCAAAAAGCCGAGAACAGAATTTTAATGTCGAGGAAGGACCTGCGAGGGTTCGAAATTTCTTCCTGGGTATGGTGGTGGGGGCAGACCCTCTTATGTGTCACAGCTAGAAACTCTATTAGTTTGACGACAAACTTCATACTCTCTATGTTAACAAAGCGGACAAGTGTATATTTTTGCGATGCAAAATAAAATAAGATTTTGTTAAACAAGAAGTACTGATATATTTGAAGCAAAACTAAAATTCAAAGACAATAGTTTAAACGGAATTGTTTTCTTATTTACGTACTCGAAAAGATCAAAAACTTTGCTTTTACATATAAAATTTTTCTGAAAGTTATGATCAGTTTCACTTATCCCACGTATCAGTTTTAACTGTATCAGATTTACCGTTACAGTTAACCATAACTGTTGCATATCTAATATACGTTATAGAGGTGCTCCACATAAATTTCGCATAACGAAAAGTGAGCGATTGGTACCAAGGGAAATAAGAATAAATTAATCATTATTGGATACATATGGTATGGAAATAGCACTCAATGAAGATCAACTGCCACTTGTCATTGCTATACAATATGTGTTGCATGATGAAAAAGAATAAAACAGTAACATGACTGGGAAAGTGTACGGCTATTTTTTTTGTAATTATTCTTAAGTGTTTCTGCTCAAAGGACGGGGAATGATAAGAGCCAAAATCGGCGCCCTCTCAAATCAGTCTTATGTTACCTCATCTGATACACTTTTTATCCGCGACTAACCCTAACTTACTCTTAGACCGTAAAAATCTCTTTCAGCGCCCCTGGAAATATTTTAGCGAAAAAAACTCTTCCCTCGTTAAATGACTTTGACTCAAAGTATTTTCATTATTCCAACTCTTTCACCTAAGGAAAATATCAACTATTATACACCACTCGATAAACAATTTCACGAGCTACAGAGTGATATATAATACAGTCACAAGAAAATGTACCTGAGTAATCTAAGATTCGAACGTTTTTTCTTAAATATTACGAGGAATATAAAATTTTGAATAATGTGTATAAAACAAAAAATTAAATTTGAAGAAGTGCGGAGAGATAACAAATTAGATTTTATTAAAGCAGGAAATAATATTTAGAAGATTGTAAATAACACTTTTAAAAAATATTCTCCATCTTTTCGAGATCTGAAAACTACAATAGGAATTGAAAAAGATAATGATAATATTGTGAATGTTTTGACGGATTTTTATGAAAATCGCTTTTCTTTTCCTGCACTCAAATTAAACAATACACATCGTTCAAAATCTTTGAAAGAGTATACAACTTTGTCATATACTCCGAATATTTCTCTCGACAAAATTTCACTTGACGATCTTATTAAACAACGGAAAGAATTTTTAAACCTAAAAGGAACCTGGATAGCACAAACACTTCAGCCTTCCTCTTGAAGAATCTTCCGCCTGAATACTTTAATATTATCACAGTTCTCTTTAACAAATGTGCAAGCAAAGGAGACTTCTTTGAGCCAGTCAAAAGGGCAAAGGAAATATATTTGTCCGCAGATAGAATTTTTCCATCATCGCTAAGGACCGATAATCGTTACCGTTGCATGCCTAAGTAAGAAAGGGTAGATTGGACAGATAAGTCACTATGACGAGGTCGGACATAAACTTTTAGGAGTTAATATAATAGCTCAAGTCAAAAAACGGCGCGTTAACGTTCTCAAAACGACAAAAAACGACCAGTAAATGGTACGAAAACGTTTACAAAAAAGATCCGTAAACGGTGAAAAAACGATCTATTTCTGAAAACGGTCTGTTTAGGGCACGTTAATAGTACCGTTTTCGTGGACCTGGGCACAATTTTTATAATAAATTTTGTCTGGAGAAGTAGCAATGAGAAAAGCTGTAAATGTTTGTTGATACATTACTCCTTCAGAGATTCCTCTAGATGTTTGAAAAATTCAATCCAAAACCTTAAATCATAATCGCCTAAAGATAATTCTCTAGTGAAACGGAGAGTGAAGTGATCCTCCCGACCCCAGAAAACGGCAAGTTAACGGCTTGATTATTGGCCCTCTTGTTTTTTTCTAAGCCGTGTCAAAAAAGACTTTCTCTTCCTCTGAAGTAGCTGATTATTTGATTTTCTTCCATGGATATTTTATTCATATGAAATTGTTGCTATTTCTAGTAATCATCAAACTCCAAATATGAATTTTGCACGGCCATATCAAGAAACCACCGTGGTGAATCCACCACCGAGTGGTGGTGGTGGTGGAGGACAAGGCACGAAACCACC